CCACCATATATATATATATATATATATATATATATATATATATGAAAGGTACAGTTCACTCAAAACTGACAATTCTGCTAAAAGTTATTATTAATCATTAATGCTTAAAAAAAAAAATAAGATAAAAAAAACAAAACATATATATATATACTGTATATATATGAGCAATATCACTCGAGTACGAGAGTGATATTGCGTTTATACAACAGTTCGACGGAACAAGTGTGTAAATGAATACAAATCAACAACGCAGTGGTGAGAACCAGAATGAACTGTTGTATATATATATATATATATATATATATATATATATTCTGGATCCATAAAATAATGAATCATAAATTAACCATGTTTGTACATGTTTTTAAGGGCCACTATAATATATTAATATTTTTCTATTTCTCAGTCTGTTGTGCTTTTCCTCAAGGTATAAAAGTCTTTGGACTGTATTATTGTCATATTCATTTCTTTCCCCTAGTGAAGGCATTAATAATTGTGTTTACTGGTGTGTGATGAACAACATCAGATAAAAGATTGGCTTTATATAAAGAAACAGTGAGCAAATAAGGACATTGAATTAATCAAAAGAAAAAACAACAACAAAGAGAAAAAGACTCCATCATTTCATTGAAATATATGACATGTTCTAATTAAGGCTCCGATGGAGCGAGTGAGATACATATTTAGGCCTCAGAATAGAGTTTTGTTGTGGCAATCAAAGAACAAACAGCAAACAATGATATAATCACTTTCAGATCTGAGCTTGGGAACAATTACATAGACAACACCAATGATTCATGAAGGAGAAAGCAGCATCCTTTCAATGGCTCCTACTCCGAACATGTGCAGTTCTAATATTAACAAGGTCATATCAAACATTAAAGGTCCACTTACAATGTTAGTCAAGGCTACTTTGTAAAAAATTAAAATTACTTAGCTTTTTATGACCATTTCCATCCTCTTCCACCCGTAAAAATTAAACAGACCATTTTTATACATAGTGTTTATTTAGTTATATTGCATAGTTTTTTTTCAATTACTGCAGTCTTTGCAGAACCTTTGCAAATTACTCATTTGTACTTACTTACTCAAATTACTCACAATCACTGTTGAAATGCCAAACAAACCTGTTTATTTATTTGTTTGCAACATGTGCTACACACGTCCAGAAACAACACAAATGTCCCACTAATGATATAGACTTCAAAACTTTTTTAAAAACAGTTTTAGCAGATATTACACACTTTACCTTTAAATTGAAGTCAGAAGAAATGCAATGAAATACTATCAAAAATATAATCAATACTGCAAAATGAGATGCTCCACCAGGATTTCAACCACTGAATTCGAATAGTCCCATCACCTGTGAATTGTGATTGTGTTATCTGATGAGCTTTCACAGCAAAAATCAAACTCCCATGCATCTCTCAGTTTCCCGACAAACACGGGGCGAACCTAATGGCACGACATGAAAGTGAAATCCTGAAGCATTGTGGGATGTTGAGACCATCAACAAAGCAATATAATACATTGGCAAGCAAACTTTTAAATGCATTGGGTATTCATGTGGAGCAAAGACAAAAGGTTGAAGTCAGAGTTCATCTACACTGTGCAATAGGCTGCCATTAAAATAATTACAATTAAAATATTCAACAATCCATGAACTGCACTTTTACTCAACCATAATCATCATATAAAAAGGGCCGCTGGGAGTAGAAATGATTTCAGGGAGGTGCATAGCACGTTAGGGACGGTGCATTGTCATTGTCGCATGCCCTGATTTTCGCAATACAAACTCACATTCTTTTTAAAAGAGCATTTACAAAGAGCGAATTGGCGAACAAAATGCTCTTCTGTGGGGAATATTGCCAGGTATTCACTGAGAAAGGTTAATAGTATTGCTGAAGAGAAGTACAACATATAACTCAATACCACTTAAGAGCTTTTTTTTGACTAATCACAGCAAAGTTGCACCCTCGCGAGCCATTTAACATATGCTCTTTCACTAATGCATGAATTTAGCACTCCAGGGGTGTGTTTCTCGTACAACAATGTCACTCACTGATTAACTACCACGGTACAATGCGCCATTGTGGAAACTAACTAGCCACTCACGACTGTTTCCCAAACATGGTCACATTAATAACGTCATGCATACGGTGTAGTGATAACTTCTGCTAATTAACTGATGTGAGATCTATATGCCACGAACATGGCAACTGACAACTACTTCACTGCTAGTACAGATCAGTACAGATGCCAAACTTCAATGCCAATGGCACAAGTAAATCCAAAATCTGGCGGTGCTGTTAAAGACCCCATGAGATGGCTATATGAACATACAGTAGTTGTCCTACATGTGGCTGTGTTGACGTACTCCTTACTGAAATCGGAATTTGGGACAATATCCAAAATCCTTACGTTTATTAAAGGGGTCATATGATGCGATTTCAAGTTTTCCTTTCTCTTTGGAGTGTTACAAGCGGTTCGTGAATAGATAAGATCCCTAAAGTTGCAAAGACTAAAGTCACAAACCCAAAGAGATATTCTTTATAAAAGTTAAGACTCGTCCACGCCCTCCTAAAACGGCTCGTTCTAACACGCCCCCACGTCTACGTCACTGTGTGGGAAAATTTGCATAACACCGCCCAAATGTTCACGCAAAGAAAGAAGGCGTAACTTTGATTCTCGCTGTAGTATTGTTGCTGCCACCGCCATGTCGTGGAGACGCTGTGTGTTTCGTTGTGAAAGCGAAACTACTTTGTTTGGTCCTCCTAAAGAGGACACAACTAGAAATCAGTGGTTAAGTTGTATTTGCAACACTGTTCCAGAACAGTTCAACCCAAATATCCAGATGTGTGCAGCGCATTTTACAGAGAAGTGTAAAATGTTTCCTGGGAGAGTAGCCTACAATGCCGGTGTTCAAGGGGCGTAACATTTCCGTCACACGCTTGAGGTATTCGGCCAATCACAACGCACTGGATAGCTGGCCAATCAGAGCACGCCCCGCTTTTCAGAACGATGAGCTTTGTACAAATCAACACTTTTCAGAAAGGCGGGGCATAGAGGAGAAACAATAATGTACAGTATGTGGAAAATAATGTGTTTTTTGAACCTTAAACCGCATAAACACATTTCATTACACCAAATACACAAAATAATGTTATTTTTAGCAACATCATATGACCCCTTTAAATATTTGCTACTTGTTATTGCTACTCAGGGGACATTCTCGTGGAGAGCATTTTATTGGACCAAATTTTGGATGAGACCCTGAGAGCAAGATAAGTCATCAATATTTTGTGTTCAATTTCCTGGAAGAGAAAGACTTGTTTAGAAGTCAAATTTAGGAATACCAGCATACTAATCTAATCTAATAGACATGGGCTAAAAGCCACAAAGCCCTCCAATTGTAATTCAGTGGGGTCTTTAATATCAGCATCTCAAATATATAAAAATCCAGCGTGTGCTTTTAACATGTCAGAGCTCCCTCACCCTCATCTTCTTAGGGTGAGCAGAAAATAGTAGCAAAACTCTAAAATCCTTATCTGGTCATCAGGGTCAGTGGTCAATGGGTGTTACAGTATTGATGAATTCTTACTTGAATTTGTAAGTTACAAAAGGGATGCTCAACATTAGCTATTGTCATGCTGAAACTAATTCCATCCAAGACACAGTTCTTAGATAATTCAGATATTTTACCAGCCTTTACAGTCCACATAAAAGACAAAAATCCATTGTTACTCTAAGAGGAAGGCAAATCTAATTACTGCAGGGTCCATCAGCTTTAACTGACATAGCAGTCAAAACTATCTGACGTTCTTGGCTTTTATAGCCAAGAGAATTATGCAGTTTAAGTGAAACCCATCGAGAACATCTCTAGGTCATATTTAACTCCAAACATAAAAGAAAAAAAAAAAAGAAAGTTGCCTATTTTTGGGATCGCTAAGATTTTTTTGCACTTTAATGGCAATTAAGCATATTTCCTTCTTACTGTATCATTCTGATTATGTCAAATTTCATGTGCATTAATATAATGTGTGATTAATAATGAAAAAAAAAATAAAAACATTCAAGGACAAGGAGAGGTCAAGGAGAATTCAAGGACAATGTGTGTTTAAATGTCACAGTGCAAAAAATCTGACCTGGGCAGCACTAAGTTTTGTTTTGTTTTAACATGTGACCTGGACATGTTTTCATGACACTTGAAAGGGAACAAACATCTGGAAACTTCTTGATTAGAAGGGAACAAACCATACACCTGCAAGGTGAAACTTGCCTTTATATTCGATAGCAAAACCAGACATCCCCAGGGAGGCATCACTGCGGAAGGCCAGAAAAAGGCTGTTTCCACTGCTTTCGATGCGCTCAGGAACCTGGTTGCCCTGCAGACTGATGATCAGGGGTCCGTTGGAGTCCTCACCGTCATAGATATGGAGGAAGTCATAGCTGGGCTCCATGTTAAAACTGCACAACAAATGGAGAAAGATTTAGAGATTGTTATATGCATAAGGTCTCACTGATGTAGTGAAATCATTGATTTTATATAAATTTGACAACACCCTTCCAAATACAAACACATGTTACATTTTGGATGTCAGTCTTCTGCATTGAAAGGTCATGTGCAGGTATCCCAACCAGGAAGTTTAAGATGCTTAACCAACAAGGTGTGCTTAGACTTAACTATGTGGCATGTTTCATGAATTAAAATGTTTTAGTAAAAAAATAAATGTAAATAAATATTGCTTTCTAATATTATGCATTCATATATTAAAGCATGCAATAATTTAAGGGAGCTATTTTTATTATTTATTTGATAAATGCTTTTAATAAACAAGGATGGTAATCCAGGAACGTGTTCAACCCATGCATTCTTGCTTAACCTGCTTCATCAGAAAGCCTGCTAGTTTCCAGAAGTAAATCCTTCTTTCTAGTTGGTCTGTTTTGTAATTATAATTAAAGTCCATGAAGTTCTGATCATTTTGGCTGAGTGAAACATAAGCAATCAGAGTCATAATCATGGTCATAAAGATTCAAGTATGTGAGTTGATGATTGTGATTGTGGATTTGTGTGCAAGGGCTGAGATACATTGCCCTTCTGCACAACTGCAGTGATTTGAATTCATAATATGTTTCAACACTGAGGCATTTCCACCCCTACAAAAAAATAAAATATAAATCATTAGCTTCTTAGAAATTCTGTTTCAGGTTTTCATCTTCTAAATCTGCTCCATGCAGTCTGGCTCCATTTTAAAGAATTTAAGGTAAATGATAGTATTCTCTGAAATTAAGAGCCCCACAATGATAAAGTTAAAGTTTATTTATTAAACAAAATGAAATATTGACTCAATGTAATCTGGCAATGGCATATTGATTTGTCTAGAAATGCCACATATGTACATGGCATACTCCCTGTTCACTGAATGTTTGTTTATTAAAGGGGTCGTGAACTAAATTATTATTTTTTTATTATTATTTGTTTGTTTTAATAATGTTTCCTGAGGTGCACTGATATAATTAGTATGAGTTTTTTTCCATCAAAAATGGTAATAATTTACAAATAAAAGACCATTTTCCACCCTGATTTTAACCCCTTGTTTAAATGTTCTGTTTAATGTATCTTTTGCAAACCTTTGGTATGTTTTTGACTAGTACACCTTCTGAGATTTACTATTTGATGAAAGGGTTGATTATAGCATAACATTTAGATCTACTCCCATTGCTGAACATTGTATCACAGTCATGTCTGTTGAGTGTGTGAACACAATGATCTTGCCAATGTAACTTGAAATTTGCACTCTCACAAGTGCTTTCATTATAAACAACACAATCAACACAATGCAAACTCAATTTAAATATGAGATTCAATGAGACGTGTAGACAGCGGCACTGATTATAATGGGATTTTTGGCCAGAGTACAGAACTCAGTCAGCGCTGAACTGAAGTGACTGACAGCTCCAGTGATTATAAAGTGAGTATTATTTTTCAATTTCTTTAATTAAGCATTATAATTAAAATAGTCACCTATATGTTGTGGCAATACTGTCAGTTCTATATATTTCTTTAAAAAGTCTATTTGCAAAGTCTGTGTCGATTTGTGATTGGTTTACCAAAAATGCATCAATAGTCAATTTCCTATCATTAGTATCCTTTGAATAGTAAAGCTATTTTTAGTCCAGTGATGCCTTTTGACATTTTTATCCTGTCGGTTCATGGATAGGCCAAAGAGACTGATGAAGAAGAAGGTGTTGTTCTGTGCCTGTGCAGGGAGTCTTGTATTAATCTCTATTGTGTAATAAAAGGAGGAATTACAAAATGACTTGTTTTAGCAGCTTGGTTTTAATTAAAGCAATTTTTGGACTAATGAGGAAGGACTGAGTTCTGAATCTTACAGTATATTTATGTAGCACAATAAACTTGTCAAGAGATCAGAGAACATTTTCTCAATTTCTGAATTCACAACCACATTTCACAATTAAAACCAGACTAAATATGTTCAAATACACTTCAAATTTATAGAAACTGGAGTTTAAAAATGCACTTGTGACTATAACCATGTAAGAGATGTTACACCCCTTTGGGGTGTCATGAGAGTGAGAGGCACTCAGTGCTGTGTGAGCACATTACCTTTTGAAGATTAAAGCGATGACAAAGTCAGGGTTGACTTTTATCCGCCAGTCACACTCTTTTCCTGGTGGGTAGGGTTGGGGATAGTTGGGTGATAGAATTACCCCAGCAGGCCCTGTCACATTGCCCCCACAGGTAGCTGTTATAACAAGGAGAGTGAGGACGAGAGATTATTTAATGTGATCCTTCAACACGGTAAAAATAAACAATGTTTCAGCAGCCTGATTATAGGATGATTACTTTGAGCTCATTATCAGTTAATATAGCAGGACAACTGTATTTGATTTTTGGCACTGAGCAGCACTGTTATGATAGGACCTGCCAATTTTTGCTGGCTTTGGTTCTGGAAGTATTTCTCTATGCATCTAAAAAATTTTTCAATAAAAATAGTCTAAGCCATGAACCAAATCAATGAGCTCTGAGATCACAAGATTAAAAATTTGGTACGGAGCAACTATTGCTGTAAAAACTGTGTACTTAATGTATTTTATGACAGAATAAACAACGTCCCATGAAGCACTGCAAAATACTGAAAAAAGTCAATACACTATAAAACTACTGACCAGGTTATTGCCCGATATGTAAAATAAGACCGATTAGAAATTTATGACAAAATATTAAAGGTACAGAATTATATGTTCAGTAATTTTATTTTTTTTGTTTTTGTTTAATGAAGGTACAAAAGCATTTATCAACCTCTAACAACTTTTGAGCTCATGCTAGGTCTGTCTTGAATGGTTTAAATATTATCATTAAAAATCAATTTCTCTACGGAGAAGATGAATGGGATTTTGGCTTCCTGAACCCGAGAGGACCTTGTAAAATTCCATGGCAACTGGCTAAGCATGACATCAAAAAAAGTCAATAGGGACACTGGAGAAAAAAGCTATTCTTTAACATGCTTAGAAGGTGCAGAGCATACTGCCTGACTGAAAAAAAAAAATGAGAGAAAAGAAGCAGAAAAATACTGGAGGTCTGAGAGAAGGTCATTGTAATAATATAAAAGCAACTTTGTAATGCAGTGGGTGAGACACCTCTACTTTTCCCTATAACGCTGAGCTAATATGTATCTCTCTTAAATCTCTTCTACAAGATCACCTGATACATGGACACTTAACAGTTTTATAATGCTATGACTTTATGATTGGTAGTGGACAACTGAGTAGATTTACAAAAAATTACTGTGGTGGTACAATGGTACAGTGATGGTTTTAGATTTTGACATACATTGCCTTGCGAAAGTATTCAGTTCTCTCAGGTTGGATTGAGACCGTCGGTGGACAGACATTTTCAAGTTTCTCAATAAATATTTGACTGGGTTTAAGTCTGGGCTCTGGCTGAGTCTCTCAAGGACATTCACAGAGTCGTACCTAAGCCACTCTTCTATTGTCTTGGCTGTGTCCTTAGAGTAATTGTCCTACTGGAAGGTCCCGTCTGAGTGCTCTGGATCAGGTTTTCATTAAGGATATTTCTGTACTTTGCTATGTTCAGGTTTCCTTCTACCATGACCAGTACCAGTGCTTCCCCCACAGCATGATGGAGTGCAGTCACCACTAACCAAGGCTCATTGGAAATGCATGCTTGCCTTGTGGCGACATTTCTGCAACACCGATATTGCGGTACCTTACTGCACGTTTTGCTGCAATTCCAAAGTAAAAAGTCCAGTGAGTGGCACTAAAAAATGTGTGTTCAATGTGTGACCATGGCCATGTTTTTATTATGTTGGTACAGGCACGTATTGCTGCAATTATATTACGTTGGTCCAGGTACGTATTGTGGCGGTTCAGAATTTAAATGTCCGGGAATCGTCACTAAACGTTAATGCTTCATCGTGTTGGAAAATAACATACACCAAACCCAACCCTAAACCAACCCGACAGTGTTAGCAAATGCAATGTGACATAAAAACACAATCATTGATGCAACCGTGCTATTTTACTTTCTTATACGCAAGTTTGAGCTGTTTTGTCGAACCTTAGTTTCACAGGATTCGTACTGAAGCACTTCACCTTACAAGTGCAACGCTGTATCACATGAGCTACCAAGCAAACTGTGTTGGAAACTCTGTCCCGGTAAATCATACTTTGTGTGAAAAGGATTAAAAGTTGTCTGAGTTTTTCTGCCTCTAGTGTTCAAACTGCAGCGATTTGTACGTATAGGTATGTTTTTTTGAGTTCTGCAGAAATGTAGGTAGAGGCACGTATTTCCAATGAGCCTGGATAGGTCACCACCATGCTTCACCGGTGATGAGCAGTGCCTTGTTTACTCCAGATATGATGCTTGGAATTGAGGTTCATCAAACCAGAGAAATTTCTTTCACATAGTCTGAGAGTCCTTTAGGCACTTCAAGCAGGTTTTCATGTGCCATGTCCTGAGGAGAGGCCACTTAGCCATAATATGTCTTTGCTTATTGCTCTGATATGCATTAGACCAGTTATACCTTAATTATACATGCTAGACCTTCTATAGACAGGTATGTGCCTTTCCAAAACATGTCCAGTCAAATGAATTGTGATGGACTCCAATCAAAGTGCAGAAACATCCTAAAGATGACCCCAGAGTAATTATTAAGTAAGTTTTAATTTTTGGTCACACTTTATTTTAAGGTCCATTTTCGCCACTAACAAACCATTAACTATGACTTTTGCCTGAATAATCTCCTAATTTGCTGCTTATTACTAGTTAGTAAGGTAGTTGTTAAATTTAGGTATTAGGGATGTAGAATATGGTCATGTAGAATATGTGCTTTATAAGTACTAATAAACAGCCAATATGTTAATAACAGGCATGCTAATAAGCAACTAGTTTATAGTGAGAATTGGTCCCTATACTAAAGTGCTACGTAATTTTTTAATTAGGTGGGATGTTTCCAGCTTTGGGATTATGGTCTATGGAGTCAAGTTTGATTTGAAAAAGTCATTTAAAGCATTTTAGCATGAGGCTGCAACATAAAAAAAAAAAAGTATTTACATTAAAATCTAATGTACTTCAGAGAAAACTATATTATCATATACAACATGTAAAAACGTTGGACCATTTCAATGAAAAAACAAACAAACAGGCAAGCAAGCAAGCAAACAAACAGTGGTTCTGTTGTATCATCTGTATTTCTAAAGTATCTTTGTTTGCTTGTTTGTGTCTGTAATTAATCAGTCTAAATCAATGTATTTCATTGACAGCTGTAATTTATATTAATATTTCACTTTTAAAAAATGAAGGAATGTATTTAACAGGGTATCCATTTTTTACTCTGTAAGGAGCTTTCCAGTAAGCAAACTAAAAAGCACAGACTCAAGTCGGATCTCACCGATGCAGGTGGGTGGGTCCGGCTGCCAGAAAAATCGGCTGTTTAGCTGAACGCAAGTGATTTCAGACACTCCTTGAATCTGGTACCCAGGGTCACACTGAAAGGAAATGGTGTCGCCAGGCTCCCTGCTGTCTCCATAGCGTGTCCCATTTTGAGGGGTCCCTGGGTCGTTGCAGGTCGTGGCAACTGTAGCTGAAATAAAAAGATACATTTTGAATCATTTTGATACAGCTGTGGATCAGTGAGACATTAGAGCGAGCGGAAAATCACTTATTCATGGGAAAACGGACCTCTGCTCTTGACTAAATATGCCAAGTCGCACAGCAGCTCACATATGCGATGGTGTTAAACTCATGTTTATGGAGATTTTAATTTAATTATATTTCATCAATCATATCATATTACTGTCAAAAAGTCAAATAAAATATGCAACAGTTTCTGCTCTCTTAACAAAAATATGCTCCATAGCCAAAATACATAAACAATGTATAATGAGAGCAGAGAGATCTGAGGAAATTTACAAGAGAGAAAGGCTTTGTTATAACAATAGCTTACTACTTACTGCATGCTGCACAGCATACACTATACTATACACTACACTGCGTGCCTTTGCATTTAGATGACAGACTTATCATCTTGGAAATACAATTATTTTGTAGTTTCAATCTAAAAACTGTTTTTTGGCAGTCCAATAAAATAAAAAAAGAGCCAAGAAAGAATGGTATGCTGATACAACATTACTAACGCTGGTAATAGAAAATCAAGGTGAGCGCAGTGCATTGTAGAATGGAGTATTCCATGCAGCATGCTAAGGTTGTACTGCACATCCAGTTGCCATGCATATTGAAAAGCTGCAGACAGTATACAGTGTGCATACTGCAAAGATATATACTAAAAGTTATATGCGAGTATGCTGGTCTGAACACAGAGAAGCTGATACATACTAGAGAACTGGATGGAGAAACCAGACTTGCTAATGAAGTAATCGCTGTCAAACTGAAGCGTGAGGATGTTGAAGGTACTGTGAGTGTCCTCGGGTAAAAGCGATCCACTCCACTCTTTCAGCAGAATGCCACTCTCCGCTGGTCCATCCCAAACCTTCAGAATGTCATGGTCCACTTCTGTTTCAAAGACTATGAAGTGGAGGCTGGGAAGGTCAAAAACAGTGAGAATATTCAATGTTGCTATATTTTCTTTCAAAGATATTCAAAAACATTACATTCATAATAAGCACAAAACATCTGCAAATTAAAATTAAAACTGAAAACTAAGACGAAAACGATTGGTCAAAAAACATTTTCAAAAACTGAAATAAAATAAAAAAATCAAAATAAATGAAACAACTAAAACGAAACGAAACTAACAACAGTTATTGCAAAACTAACTGCAATAAAATAATAATTATCAAAAATAAATAATCGTTTCCGTAATCATTACGTTCTCACCCTGTGGCGGAAAAATATATGAGCTGTGTGTCGGTTTAGGGAAATTTAAAAATGCAAATCTATAATAACCTTGGTCCAGAGTTCACAAAGATATGTCCTAAAAATTAATTCATAATTCATAATTTAAAAATGTTAGTTTCAAAATAAAACTGCATGCGTCTTGCAGAAGAACAATGCTCCTCGAATGTGGTTTGAGGCACAGATATAGATCTTAACAGAGCGGATGGACATATTAAATAACATTATTGTTTTTGTTTTTACAACAGGTTATTCCCAGGAGTTTGCCATTTTGAATGATCATTATCATCTTCATCATCATCATCATCATCACCATCAATTTTTCTCGTTCGTTATGACAAATGAGCATTCAGCTTCAAGCTACCCACAGCTGAATCCACATTTCTTTGTGTATGGATATGACATAACGCAATTTCCTGTGAAATGCATTTTGACAGCTCTAAAATACACATCATTATTATAGGTTTTTCAAAGTGTATTTGGATTTGTTTTAAAAGACGAAGCAAAATGTGACCTCATTAATATGGCTGTATCATCTTTGGCAATAATGGAATACTTAAATGCACACAAAACATCTTTTCCTCAGCACTGAACTGATCAAACCCAAAGGCCTTCAGAATATATTTATACAACAGGTTATTCCCAGGAGTTTGCCATTTTGAATGATCATTATCATCTTCATCATCATCATCATCATCACCATCAATTTTTCTCGTTCGTTATGACAAATGAGCATTCAGCTTCAAGCTACCCACAGCTGAATCCACATTTCTTTGTGTATGGATATGACATAACGCAATTTCCTGTGAAATGCATTTTGACAGCTCTAAAATACACATCATTATTATAGGTTTTTCAAAGTGTATTTGGATTTGTTTTAAAAGACGAAGCAAAATGTGACCTCATTAATATGGCTGTATCATCTTTGGCAATAATGGAATACTTACTAAATGCACACAAAACATCTTTTCCTCAGCACTGAACTGATCAAACCCAAAGGCCTTCAGAATATATGTATTCCTATACTGAGCCACTGGGATTTATATTATTTACACACAACAGGGCTGTAGTCTGACCTCCTCGAGTCGAGCACAGCACTGCAGCTGGCATGTAAAAACAGGACTGATCAACTTAAGTCACAACAATGACTGTCTCTGTGGGATGTGTAGGTGGACAACCACGAGTTCTGCTCTCCACAAACACAGCGTTATTCATTCAAATATCTCCACACCGCTCATAAATGACATTTCATTCACCAGCAGGGTCCTTTTTGCCAGCAATTGAATTGTATTATGAACCTATATAACGTTATATGTGACCCTGGACCACAAAACCAGTCTTAAGTCGCTGGGGTATATTTGTAGCAATGTT